GAGAGAGAGAGAGAGAGAGAGAGAGAGAGAGAGAGAGAGAGAGTCATCGAAAAAATGGCACAAGCGAGATGGGAAACGGCCATTTGGAAATTGCGAGAGCTATCAGATACTTTGGTATAGAGCGGCAGAGGAAACTTTGGCGAGGAGACGGGTTTGTAGCTTGACTACGTGTACACACGGCAGTGACTCTCAAAGCTCTGCCTCTCTGGAGCTTTCAATAATGACTCAACAGCCCGATTCGATCTTTGTTGGAAAAAAAAAAAAAACAGATAGAGAGCGCAGAATCCTCTCCTAGAAGAGTAGTTAAAGACTGAGAAATTAATGAAACAGAGACGCGCGAGAGAGAGAGAGTCCGAGAAAGGGGGTCGAATCTTAAGCGTTTGAGACCCTTTGCGTAAAATATCTCACCACCTTCTCGGGCAATATTCTCTCGCACGTAAACGGATTTACTCCGTGCATTAAATCATGGCTTATTGCCGCGGGATATTATTTTTTTTTGTAGCAGCGCAGGCACACGCCGTAGTTATACGCGCGTTCGAACAAGAGAAAGATGCGCGTCGCGATTGCACTCGCGGAGCGAGTTCGGACTCATTAGGGAACGCTCTCTCTTCCAGACAACGCGCCGGGCGTTGCCATGTGAATTATGAAAGCCGCGCGTATTCTTATTACGCGTTGGTTGTTTTTAGTGCGCGTTATCCCGAGATGCGTCGTAAAACTTGCGCTTTATCGCGCGCCGAATTATGCGCCGCGCGCCGGCGAATGCGGAGAGCTTTAAATAAATTTATGCATCTCCTCGCGGGGGCGGGGGGCGCGGCGCCCTATTAAAGTTTGAGAACCCCTATGTGTTGTATAACCGTCTGCCGTACGCGTCTTCGGTTGTTATGCTCCGTGATAGAGCGACTGAGCTACGTGCATACACACCTCAGCCCGGAGGCGTAACGATGACAGTTGACTCTTGAACCTGGCCGTTAAAGACGAGAGCCGCGAGGAAAGCGAAACTACCACGGGAGTTTGCTTTGATTGGCGTTTTGCATCGAGTTGGAGTTTGTAATTCATACGGTCGCGCACGAAAACGCACGCCGCTATCAACTCGCGAATATCAGTTCCCCGTGACGACGACGACGACGACGACGAACGTGGCATCGAGATGTCAACGTTTGACCGGCGCTATCCGGATGATCCTCCGTACAGTTGCGGGAAAATGGAGTAGAGCCGCGCTAAGCGCGCGCTATTATGGGCGGTAATACAAACGGCAATGTTGCGTTTGGCGATATGTGATAACTTGCTGAAAACTAAAACCCTCTCGGATTGCAATCCCATCCACGCCAGATTATTTCACGTAATTACGAATTATTGCGGATACGTAGCTGCGTTTCATGTTATGTTTACTCGCGTCCATTTAATCGTCTCTCGTGCAGCGAGAAATCCACCGCATTATAGCGCCTGTAAAAGTTACCGTTGCGCCGCTTCCTTTCGCTGGACGCGCGGGCGTGCGGGCAGAGAGAAACGGGGAAACTGCCGCGGTAAAATATAACGCATGCGGATTAATTAAGACGACAACGTCCAATTAGCAAAGTACCGAAATTCGTATCACTGCGCCGGCCAACGCTGCACGAGAATAAAAACACTGCGTCACAGAGATGCGCTTGCGTTAGCGCGCGCGCAACCATCGTGATTAAATTCGGCTAATATCGCCGTTATGTCGAGCCGTAGTGTTTTGACTATCGCAGACAAATGGCGCGCGATGGTAATCTATATTAACACAGGTCGGCATCTCCGACATTTTCATTACTCCACTTTCTTTAATGAACGGTACGTTATTTATAATAACGCGCGTAATTTAATCGACGGTTATCCTTGCAACGGTCGTGAGTTGCGAGCACCGGCCAACCGACAGTTTAAAACGCACGTATGCGTGCGTTTCTGCGCGCGTACCGCAAGCGGAATTTCATCATGGCTTTAGCGTTTAAGGGACTTTCACGAACGCGCAATTCTCGCGAGTGGCCTATCGCGGGTTAGTTCCTTTGCGGCTCATTCGAAGCGCGTGCTTAAAATACGGCGCGGTAGTTAGCATCCTTAACGGCGAGTAAAAAAAGGAGGACGAAGTCGTCGCGCGGGTAGTTTGCGGGGCAGGAAAGAGCGCGTATTTACCCTTTAAAGCGGATGTAGCTGAGGACAGTGCGAGGGGGATGATGCACATCGGAGGGGTGCGCTCGAAAATGCGCTCGACCCACGTAAGTGAAAGTACTCACCCTCTTGCTTCAGCATCAGCATCACGAACAGCAGCAGCAGCAGCGCAAAATCCATCGCTCGGCGCTCGCGCACCCTCCGCGGATCCACCAGCTCGGCTTGGCGCTATTATTGTCCGGCTTCTTCCTCGCACCGTCACAACCGTGTCGCCGGCGACCCTCCTCCTCTTCGTCCTGACAGCAGAGGAACGTCGCGTGTTTGTAATAACGTGAGAGACAAAAGTGTCAGCCGCGCACAGAGACACGTTCGTTTTGAACGTCATTCCCGCCGATTCCCGGCAATTTCGCGCCTTCGGATATCGAGGGATCGATTCCTTGTGATTGTGCGCAACCGTCGCTTATAGTCGGTTAGCGTGTCGCGATGTTGTGCCGCGTCAGTTGTCCTCGATCTCGCGATAAGTATAGAATCGCCGGATGGTTTAGTTGAAATGAGGCAATGGAGAATTTTACGACGACCGATAATTTAATAGGATAATAGCGCGATGAAAAATGAGCAGTTAGTTGCACTTCATAATATTTCGACGAGTCCGTCCACCGCGTGGCGGTCGTCACGTACGTGCTTCTCGATTTCATGAAAGCTATATCATTTTATTCTTGATCCTCTGAGCGCACTTTGCGGTGCAAACTTGCAATTTTTCCAGAAAGTGATCTTTTCGCGATGCGATCAAATGAGGCAATTTTCACTCTTTTTTATTGCTTTTTTATTGGCTGTTACCATCGTCGTCAGCTCTTACCATCGTCGTTAAGTCTCTGATATTCTTTTTCTATATTAAAAAAAATGAAATATCGATCAATTTGAAGCAGAATTATAAGTCAGCAAAAATTGTTGGTGAAAATTATATATATATATATATATATATATATATATATATATATTCATCTTGCGATTTTTGGTCTTATTAATTATATAACGAGATAAATGTATAGAAACGTAACTTTGTTCGATAAATAATAAGTTCGTGACTAATTGCCTCGATGCGCTGCTAACGATATGATACCAGGCCTTGCAAGCTTCTTAAAATCGACGAGAATCTCTTTTTTTGGGTAAGCGCCGCGTCTTGGGGAGATTCAGTTGGAACTAAAATTCGATTTGACACGCGTTCTGTTAGAACGAAAAAACGTTCACTCGTCCTAGTAACGACAGGAGGACGATCGCTCGGGCTTGATAGCGAGAGAAGAACGAGAGGGGGAGGGAAGAGGGGCGAGCTCGTCAGGCACGCGCGAGAATGCTCATAGTGGCGCGCCGGTCTTAATTACCGGGGAGGTCCTTCGTTATTCCACTGTCAATTAAATTTAATGATTGCCGCGGGTTATTGTGTTTTCATTGTGCCGGCGCGCTCGCCGGCTCGCAGAAGAAGCGTGTACGCAGCCGGCCGGGACTCCCTTATTTCGCATACATTTATCTTACGATACGGTTTACCCGTCGCAACGCGTTTGCATCTTCGACCGTAGAATATTCCACCTCGTGACGGATGACGGAAAACTTGGCTAGCTATCCGTCCGAGCGACTCTGTTATTCGCGTATCCGATCGACATTATCGCCCCGATTCTTGCGGGAACTCGCATCGCACGATGCTTTTCTTTTTCGCCGACAGTTGGGAATCTTTCGCGATTGAAAGTTCTTGCTCTCTACCTCACTCTCTTCCCCCCCCTCTCTCTCTCTCTCTCTCTCTCTCTCTCTCTCTCTCTCTCTCTCCCTCA